TGTCTCCGACTCAGAATGGTACTTTCTAAGTGGACGAGGAAAGGTGAACAGAACCAAACGGGAACAGGTAAGTGATAACATAGCACGGAACAGGTGAGTGATGATATATCACGGGGTTATGGTTACGGTATCACAGAGCTCACGAACAAGAAAGTAACCAGGCAAAGTCTTACGAACAAGAAAGTAAACTGGCCACAGCTTTGTAAGGGGAGGAAGAAAGGTGAACAGAACCAAACGGGAACAGGCAAGTGATAACATAGCACGGAACAGACAAGTGCTGATATATCACGGGGTTATGGTTACGATATCACAGAGCTGACGTACAAGAAAGTAACCAGGCAACATCTTGGTTAGAGCCGTAGTTTCGCTGTGGGAGACGGTCTTGATGATGAAGTTGTCGTCTGGCGACAGATAGAACAGACTGCCACTGGCGCCTGGATTGCTGAGTTCCTGCAGAGGTGACGTGCACAAAGACAGCAAGAAGTCCGCAGGTTTGATCCCGTAAGCGTCTCGGAAGTATCTGCAGTGGTGCGATGGGGTGGTGTGATGTCTGTGTCAAAACTTCGTGTGTAGTGAGGGGATGTGATGTACGTGTCAATCCTTCGTGTGTGGTGAGGAGGTGTCATGTCTATGTCAATCCTTCGTGTGTGGTGAGGAGGTGTGATGTCTATGTCAATCCTTCGTGTGTAGTGAGGAGGTGTGATGTCTGTGTCAATCCTTCGTGTGTAGTGAGGGGGTGTGATGTCTGTGTCAATCCTTCGTGTGTGGTGAGGTGGTGTGATGTCTATGTCAATCCTTCGTGTGTGGTGTGGCATGTATTTATGGGAGGGTGGGGTATGCACACGCCGTGTTGTATTGCTCGCCTTCTCATTCACGCAGAGGTGCTAGGAATAGATGCTTTATACTGTGGCGTTAAGTCTCAACAGTAGCGTGCTGCTAAGTGGTACGCACGGGATGTGGAAAAGGGCTGCGGGATTGAGGGTGTGAGGGTAGTCTGACAGTCGCATGTCGTGCAAAAGGATATATTAGTAGGCTGTATCTGTATATTCTAAAAAAGGTAAACAAGTACCTGTGTATTCTAATAATAGTTATTATATCCACGTCAAGACCTGCTACAGCTATAATCATGCATTATTCCATATAAAAAAGTTATATAAAGATACTCTGAATCGATAAGTTTCCGATTCTAACATATGCCTGTATTAGGAATAATATACATTGGCGTACTGAAGGATGGATATATGACACAGTCACGAGGTAGATATAATAAGAGCACCTGCACATCAAAGGGATCCAGCTAACACTTCCGCGGCTATTTCACTCGTACATCAATGCGTATAATCATTGCAAAATGGATAACTGCAACGGAGACACACGATAACGTCGGAACAAATAGGAGAGGAACTCGGCCTTAACCAGTCCATGCTCACAGATTGACAGTGAAGACGCGAAGACGGACAATTAGGCCTACAACAGATCGAGAAAGGCTACACACAACTAATCCCCATATCAAACAATACGCAAGCGATAGAACATACATAGCACAAAAGGTCATTAACCATACGTACACACACGGATACTAAAACCTTCATCATAGGCTGGTACTGTAATTCATAGGTACATCACAGGGTAGTACTGCAATATATAGGTACATCACAGGGTAGTACTGTAATTCATATGTACATCACATGGTAGTACTGTAATCTATAGGTACATCACAGGGTAGTACTGTAATTCATATGTACATCACAGGGTAGTACTGTTATTCATAGGTACATCACAGGGTAGTACTGTAATTCTTAGGTACATCACAGGGTAGTAATGTAATTCATAGGTACATCACAGGGTAGAACTGTAATTCATGGGTGCATCACAGGGTAGTACTGTAATTCATAGGTTCAGAATTTTCATAGAGTTAAAATGAAAACAGGTATAAGAACCGGACTCGCTAAGAACTCGGGCGCTACAGGATACTCACATGCCCACGCTCAACTGCCTATAGTTTCCGTGCACACAGCACATGCCGATAGAAACTACATATACAACCATAACAGGCTTTAAATATGATACGAACTCTTTCGTACAAGCAGCACATACCTATACGAAATACACCTACAAACATAACTGGCTGAAAGTAGGATACGAAAACACTGCAGATCCCGATAGTAGTCGCTCGTATGCACACAACATAAACCCGCCAGTCTGTGCGGCCCTATATTCGCTCACCTGAAGGCTTTGGGTGCATATGTGATGAATGAGAAATCTGGTTGACTGTGCGCCGGGGTGAACTGTGTCCCATTTCTCGGGCACCAGGTGCTCTGGACCTCTTTGAAGTCCTTCATTAGTATATCTTTTTGTTCCTTGGGTGTGATCGACCCTATCGCCACTCCTAACCCGAATTGTATGCCGCTCATAATTTCATTGGATTCAGCCTATATTTATTTTCAAGGTTGGGGAGAGATTATAATTTGAGAAACATCTTGATGAAAAAACTGTACAATTAGTAGTATGAAGTGTTCGTAATAGAACTATAAAAACCAAGAGGCGATAGTGTCGCAAAATTTGGAAAGCTGTCAGTGACAAATATACCCTTAGTAAAATGAAAATATATACAATATCATAAATGTCACGGTAAGTCATACCAAAATGTGTTTTAGTTCTATATAT